TGTAGGAATCTGGCTGCAATTATGGATACGAGTCCTGTCGGTTTCTGTTCGCATCTTGTACGCATCGGATGTTGACGGTATCTATCCGCAATTGCGGATACCGTATCCATCTGCGTCTGTATGCAAATGTCGACCTCTAGGAATCTGTTTGCAATTATTGATACGATTCGTACCGGTTTCTGTCTGCATCCTGTACTTACTCGTTGCAATCGATACGTAGACGTAATTGCTGATAGAAAATCGCATTGCCTTTGTACGTATTGAATTTGTCTAAAATTACAAATAACAAGTGCAACTGTACCCAGTTATTAAAGGTTAATCAGCACTATATGTTTTCAAAACTATAGTCTATTTCTGATAATTGTGGTAATTTTTAAGAATAAATAAAGCATTTTTGTATAATTTTTATGTTCATATATAATATAGACAATGTGCGTTCAGGGACAACTCAAATATGAATCACGAGACACGGTAGTGTCTCGCGCCAAGTTTACGCGAGTACGCGAGTTGACGGGCCCTCAGATTTTCGGTTCTCAACAACGGCTGATCCGACGAACTTCTAATTGCACTCAATCGATAGATTGGGTTCGATTTGTTTTCCGTAAGAAACTGATAGGATACGTATACGCATTTGCAGTAAGCAACGGATAGAACGGACGTCACTGTTACGAACAAATGCAGATAGATATATCCTGTCTGGTTCTGCAGTTAGATGCGGATAGACATTCAAAACTGACTGCGTATAGGAACGAATAGGATTTGTAATTATGTCTGCACGCATTCGGATAAGTTCCATTCCATTAGGAATCAGTTAGATGCAGTTAGCCTTTCCCTACCGTTTTTGCGTACATAATCTTATAGGTTCTGTAACATTTATCAGCTGCTTCTATCCGTAATTGCAGGGCCAAAAACGCATAGTAGAGCAGTCAGAAACGGATAGAATCCACGTTCTATCCGTTTCTAACGGAATTTTTACCAGGGATTTACAATTTTCGAAATAGTTAACGAGTTATCAGTTATTAAAAATCTCTGTCTTAGCCCGGCCTACCGCCCAATTCAAGCGCGCGGCGAGATGTGGCTATCCCGCGATCGGTGCACTTTTCATAGTAATTAACATCGGTTTCCGTCGTTGAAGATGATTCAAGATTCTCGCTCTGACTCGATGTCGCTTACACGTCGCTACTACGTTGGTCGTTAATTACGAATCTCTTCGTCTTTTTCACGGAGAGTTGTTTATTATACGTAACTGTTGCTGTGTGTCATAAACAACTCCCCGAGCGCCTAGCAACGCCAATCGCGGGACGGCCGAATCTCGCCGCGCGCTTGAATTGGGCGGTAGGCCGGGCTAAGACAGCGATTTTTAATAACTAATAACTCGTGAACCATTGCGAAAGTTGCAAAATGGTACAGGACTTTTCGACTCAGTCTAATCCGCTCTATCCGTAAGTAAGAGGTGAGGCGGGTATTACATAACACCCTGTATATTAATTGTATCGGTCATATCGCTCGGAGCAACTAAGTTACGTTATAAATAAAAAACTTATTTATCGATTTGTGTGTTATCGGTCATTTTTAACTTTTAGTTTCTTGATATCAGTATTGCCCCGAACAAATAAAACTGAAACAAGCAACACATTTTAATAAACACGTAAGAGAGACATATGTCAGGTATAAAGAAAAGAATCATATTTACAAAAACAAGGGGAGATCAGGTGTATTAAACATTCATTTACTTCGAAAATGTACTGACAATTAATTGGAAAAATTGATTCAATTTCAATAATCAGACAAATATTATTTAATTATACAATTGTCCTTTTGTCAAAGACAGAACGTGACGCTAAGCTAATGAAGGGCGTCGAGAATATCCTTTCTACGAATCTTGACTCTAACGTTCACATAATCATCCTGTTCATTATCGCTCGACATTGTTGGCGCGACAGAACTATGCATCATTCTTCTACTGGGCGTCTCCTTCTTATCAATCTTCAACTCGGTCTCTTTCGTCAGAGTTATCTTCAAGAAGGCCATCATGTCCGCCACGATGTCCCTCGTCATGATTTCTTCATCTAACACATTGATGGCCGGCTCGTCTCTGGTGAGCGCCCTTCGGGTGATATTGTCGAACTGATTTGCCACTTGGAAGGCGGACGGGGATGTACCGTCCCTTCTGGTCTGTGATATGAGAGGTATTATAGCATCCTCGAGATCCTTCGTGATGCTCTTGGAGCTGGTAACATGGTTCGTCCGATTGTTTAAGCGACTCTCTATTATCTTCCACAATTCTTGAGCCACGTCTTTCGCGTCCACGTTCACGATGACGTTCACGTTCTTGTTCTGGATTATCGTTCCTGACTGTAAATTACCAGTCACACCTTCAGTTTCGAACGTAAATATAAATCGTTAGTCATCATATGAAATAATTGGCAAAATCGATCTTCTTAGAATACAAAATAAATTATTACTTTTTATTTGGCGCAGATAAGTAGCGCGAGAAATTTCTCATACTATTAAAATTAAATGACTACGTGGTTCTTATGATTGAATAACGTTAATTACAGTGGACTGCTATACTTCTAAATATAATATATTAAAAAGAAAGTTTTAATAGATATTGCACAGAGATTGATTTTAGTCGTGTAAAATTAGTGATAAGAATAATGTGTCACCATAACACAAATCTATTGTGAAATTAATTTATAACAGTAGAAATTATTATATATAATATTCTTAGATTTCTTCATTTTTCTCTTACCTCATCTGGCGATAAATGTTCCGAATGCGTCTGGGAAGATTTACATGCAAATTACGTCATCATTAAATCAGTATAATTCGCTCAAAGCGATGTATTGTTACAGAATTTTATATTATATTATGAATATACAAAATATTTAACATTTTTCACGCTCTACATTTGCAATATATTGGGACCTTAAATAAGTTCGTGCGCTTTTCTAAGAGATGGCGTAACTAATATTTTTTGCATCGGTACATACTGCAATCACTTTATGCCAAAGCACCATCATCAGGCTCGAATTTTTATTATATGCCATTTGGCCGAAGTGTAAACAATATTTTTTTAAGTATTGAACATGTCGAATTTTGTACCGACAAAAGAGCATTTGCGGAAAGTTTTACTTTTCTGCTTTAATTGGAAGAAAAGTGCAGCTGAAGAGCATCGAATGCTTGTGGAAGTTTACGGGGAACATGCACACTAGCTCTGAGAACTTGTCCAAAATGGTTTCACCGATTCAAAGACGGTGATTTTGACACGGAAGACAAGGAACGTGAAGGCGCGCCGAAAAAGCTTGAAGATGAGGAATTGGAGGCGTTGCTCGATGAAGCTCCATGTCAAACGTTTCAGGAGCTTGCCGATTCATTGAACGTGACTGAAGCAGCTATCAGCATACGTTTAAAGTCGTTGGGAATGATCCAAAAGCAAGGAAATTGGATGCCCTATGAACTGAAGCCGACAGACGTTGAAAGGCGTTTTTCACGTGTAAACACCTGCTCCAAAGGAAGGGATTTTTGCATCGTATCGTGACTGGTGACGAAAAATGGATACGCTACGATAATTCAAAGCGAAAAAAATCATGGTGCAAGCTTGGCTAACTGTCGACATCAACCCCGAACCAAAGCCGAATATCCATGGTGTCAAAGCTCATACTCTGCATTCGATGGTATCAGAAGGGCGTCGTATACTATCAGCTGCTAAAACCGAACGAAACGATTACTGGAGAACGCTACCGACAACAACTGATGCAATTGAGCCGAGCATTGAAGGAAAAACGGCCGGTATACGCCAAAAGACGACAAAGTGATTTTTCAACATAACAACGCTAGGCCACACGTAGCGCACGAACTTATTTAAGGTCCCAATACAATAAATTGCTAGTATTCTGTAGGGGATTGTTAAGATTAATAACTGTAATTACAGAAGATTGTTATTATGTACATTAATGTTTTAGAGCAGAGACACAAATTTTTTTCTTTACAGGATTCTCAATGTTATCGTTATTAACTGCTAGTTTTGTCTCTGTTTGTCCTTACTTTGGCACCGGCCACTAGGATGGCCCACAATATTGGCAAGCACGTAATTATCATAACGTAATTGTCGCAAACGTAATTGTTGACTCAGCGCGTCTCGGGACGATGAATGCATATACAATAAACTGACTTTTTATACGCGATAACCCGCCCGGTGCCGGTGGAACTCCCGCATAATGCAATGGTGCGATATCGAGACCTATGGAAATTGAACACCGCGCAATCCGCGCCGTTTAATTCACGCGATAGTCCATAATCATTTGAGTGATAAATCCAGGCCGCCCGTTTGTAGACAGTCAATTTGTAGGCGCACGCGATGCCGATCGATTAGACGTAATACCGAGGCCTCGGCCCTTTTGCAAAATACATCCCCGAATCGCAACAGCCCTTCTTGGGGCTTCAAACCGCCCATGGCTATACATGTAATTTGACTATAAAGATGCTAAATTAACAAGGCGCTATTTAATTTGCATTCACCATCGTTATCTATGCATTTCTGTATTTGATTATCAACGGTCGTTTTTTTTTTACAAATTAATCGCTGGGACGTATGAACTGAGAGTCATGGCCAGTATTCAGATCTTGTATTCAAGACCGTCTTGAATTTACCTGAAGACGCCATATGGAACATTTCATTGGCTACGGAGTATCTAAAGATGATCTTAAATGTAAGATCTGACTATAAATACCGCCGTCTATTTCTTTGTTTTACAATTAGAGATAGCTTTTATTCCATTTATTAGTCTCTATTCTCTGACATTTGATAGATTTCAATAGTTATCTAACAAAATGAAACACAATAGAATAATTGTCTTCTTTTACTGATAGCTTCGTTTTTTCGACTGCGATCTTGATTTTCTTGGGAGCATGAAGATGCATCCTTACCTTGACCGTGATTTTTCTAAAAAAAGAGATTAATTAAGAAATATTCTAGTATAAATAAATAATTAATTATTATTATTAATTATTCGTTACATAATTATTAACATATAAAATGTACAGTTCCTGACTTACGAGCGACTGAGCATTTTTTAACATACAGAATTTATGGACTTGTATGAGTCAATTTTAAGAACGCGCTCGAGAGTCGCTACGTGATGAAAGTTTCATCGGTATGGTCGTACATGACGAGCAAACTAATCAAAGTGGAAGGATAAATTCTGGTTTTAATTATCCGTCGTTAATTGATTTTTACGCGGAAGTTGTAAAGATAGTAAAATCAATTTTACAAGAAACACTTTCGACACTCAACACGTCCATTGAAATTGATTTCTTACAGCTACAAAATTCGAAACTGATATATAGGCTATAACTCACGTTCAGTACCAAGTTTCAAAGATCGATTATTACAAAGTAATTACTAATATAAAATAATTGCTATTACACAGAGAAAAAGGTTTCTTTGGATTTAGTATTCCTATTTATTTGATCGAGATGTGTTTTATTGAAACAACATATGCTTATACACACGGAAAGAAAGGCTTGGTTAAATTTACAAAGTTTTTCTTGGTTAGCTGTATATTGGTTGCTATAACGATTGACTTGGTTACCATAATCATGTACACTTGGTTAGTCTGGCAATTCAAACTTGATAGGGACTGTTGGTGTTTATAACCAACGCAATTGGTTAAAGTAACCAAGAAATTGTATTCCGATTGGTTATCCAGAAGGAACCACGGCAATTAGTTCTTATAACATCAAATTGAAATTAAAAAAAATAAAAACAAACGACCATAGCTTATAGCATAACCAAGTTCATAGTGAATTCGGTAGAAAGGAGTATCACCGATTAAGGTTAATTTCAATCTCGGCTCACTTACTTCTTATTCCTTACTAGTCCTAAGAATTAGAACAAGAAGTAACTTAAACCGAGAATAAGGTTTGCATCGATAGAAACGGACATAAGTTGTTTAGTGCAGCTATGGAAGTAACAAGCGTGAAAGAATTGTTGGAAAATTGGAGATTTGAGAAGTTCGTCTCAATATTTGAAGGCAAGTTCTGTTACGTTTCTACATTTAAATTACATTTTAAATTAATAAATTTTGCGAAGTGTGAATTTTCCGCATGAGCGTAAAAATAAAAATATTATAGTTGAATCGGGCAGTTTTTTAAACCAAAAAATGAAACCGTTCATAGCTAATTTGGTCCATTTATGTAATTTTAACCTTACGACAAACTGTTAATAAGAAAAATATTTTCACCAATGAACTGAGCTATAAAAAATATTTTATTTAAGAGAATCAATTTTTAGTGCTTTGGTCAATTAATTGTACCAATAAAGATATAGTTGGTACAATTAAGTACGACCGTTGGTTCCATCAATCAAGTAACTTGGTAAAGTCAACCAAAAGATAAAGGTTACAATAATCAAGTAATGATAGTTTAGAGCGACCAAGTCTACCAAGTACTAATGGTTGCTCCAACTATTGCAGTCGAACTAAGTGCCGTTGGTACGTGTAACCAAGAAATCAGCTGGTGCATATATAACCAAGGCACTTGGTTTCAGGCGACCATTTTTTTGGTTATCCCAACCAAGTCTTTTTCTCCGTGCAAAACATTATTTGTTTGAATAAAAATTTAGTTATTTCATTCAAACAATCTCTACTATTTGATAGAAAAGATACTATTATTTCAAGTAATATCTTTCAATCAAATAATTATATTATTTGGCCAGGCGCCTATAAAGTTCGGTGCTGTCACTAAATGGCCGCCGAACTCGTAAGTAAAATCACGGCTGCCAGACATATAAGCGACCGCATCAGAAGACGCAATCTAATCATCTAATGGTCTATTCTTTGTAGCTGAACATAGTGTACTAATTCAGTGTTTATCTTTCTTCTTTTAATGAAGGAAAAATTATACTGTAGAGGGTATATACATACATTTTTTTCCCACATTTTCTATCAAACGATAATGTTGCTTGAATAAAACAATGATATCAGTTAGATCACAGAGAATATACCTTTTACTTCAAACAAATATTTTATTTCAGACGAAGTTATATATTATTTCAAATTCAAACAAATAATTTGTTTGGACCATTCCAAATATCAAATTTGTTTGGATACAACAAAATTTATTGAATCCAAAGAAATCATTTTCTCTGTTTATGCGATAAATGTAAACTACTGTTATGAAATAATTACTATTATAAAATATTTATTTCATACCGCAGTCAAATACGGGTTTTTTCACGCAATTCTCGACTATACGTAATTCTAGCACTTACTATGTGATTTGAATGTTGTCTGCAGAGTTTGCCTAAAACACGTCAGATATGTTCGATGGCGAATTTTTGTTTTGATCCGTCGCATCACTTCGACTATTGTCCATTCTCCTTTCTATAAGCGGCCAAAGCGCTTTGATCAGTTGGTCACTGATTTCTTGCAATTTTTTTTCTGACAGCTGCGGATCCAAGTTTCCGTCTTTCAATTCATCAATAAAAGAACTGTTAAATTCTAACAGATTGTCGACATGAATGATTTGATTTTCAATCGATCGATTTCTTCCGTCGTCAACACACGGATCAGCAGGATTATTTCGAAGTTTCCTCACTTCTACCAGATCAGATTTTGTAACATCGTTTACATATTTAGAATCTTGCGCAACCGAACTCTTGGCTTGGCGTTCCATAATTGTGACTAATGTGAATGGATTTGATTCTAATTGATCAGGGGACGTTGACGTAGCAGCTGCAACGTCCGTCAATTCACTTTCTGCACTTTTCTGAGGTAAGTCTTCCGAAATTGGATTTAATTGCTTGTTCATCTTCTTCAATTCTTCGACTTTTTCTTCCACCTCTTCATCAGTCTTATCTAGATGGATCTGATCTTGATCCGTTTTCTCATAATCCTTTACCAACTGTTTCTCATCGGTAAAATTATTAGTATTATTATTTGCCCGAATGAAAGAAAGATCGGTCTCAATCTTGCTGTTGTCGTTCTCGTGTTCATTAAAATCCGGAAGCAATCTGAGAAGCGGAACAGAGGGATCTTTCAATAATGCAGGTAGATATTGCTTATTATTACTCCCGGCTGTTGAATTATCACCGTTTATCAGCAAATCATTAACAGTTGTCTCTGACTTATTCCCTCCAGATGCATCAGCTGCTTCACGAAAATGACTTTCCGCATTGCTTGTTAAGTGTTGTCGATTATGCGACGGATCAAATTGATTGCCTGCGTGTGCAGCGGTTTTACTTTGCTCCAGTTGAGTGTATTCCTCGGTAATGTTTTCCTGAGATCGCGGAATTTGATTCAGTAAGTTACTTGCGTTTTTTGCAGCCTCCGGTAAAACTTCAATCATCGATTCCACAATGTTTCTCGTGTTTGATAAAATCTGTTTTACTACGGGCAAATTATCTGCAACTTGCGGACTCGAAACGTTCTTGAAATTCTTAATTGGATCAAGAAATCTTTGGTTTATATCGTCGATCTTGTCTGACTGCTCTCGCGTATGTTGTAGTATATTTTGCAGCAGAGTATGTTGATTCGCATTTTCCTGTACATTACTAATAATTTTTGGAACAATTTGTACTAAATCTGTGTCAAATAATCGTTGACTTATACCAATTGTTGAGTCCTGCAAGTTTTGCGATTTCGGAAGAAACTTATTTACAGTTTTAGTTAAATCATTTATAACCGATGTATTCGTAATGTTCTTTATTAAATCACTTTGATTAAGCAATTTCTCGCTGACATCATTTTCTGTTGATTTCCAAGAATCTGGTTTAAACGCGTTAGCATTGAGCGAGTTGTTTACCGCATCTAAGTCGAGGATCGACTTTTGCAAAGTGTCAGAATTAAATGCTTTACGATTATGTCCGGTAATATCAGGTGAAGTGTCTAGAACATCTTGTACAGTTTTTGAAATTAAATCGTTCATCTTTGAATTTGGAGTGCGTGCAACGCTTTGATCGTCGATATTTGGAAGATTACTCGAATTAAACGACTCGTTTAAATGCGGGTAAAGAGCTGTTTGATTTTGATCCGCGTTTATTTCAAGATCGTCGAAAGACGAGTGGTTCAAGATTTTTGTACTGTTGTCAAACCATTCTAAATTCGCTCGAGATGGCGATTGCGTTACGAGGGCTTCTGTCGTTGAAATTAGTGGATTGTCGTTGCGCCTATTGCAATCATATCCTTTGTCGGTTTCCTTTCTCAAGCGCGCTAAACGATTCGCCGCGTGCACTGCCAATTGTAAAAAAAGCTTCAAAACCTTCTCATTTTGGACAACCGGATCTGAATCATTACGTGAAGTATTCCAATCAATATTTGGCGGCATAGAATGTACCTAATGAGAAGAAAAGAATTAATCGCAAGATATTTATATGTACAGCATAACTTGGCTATACATACGAAACTATTACTATATAATTGCTGTTATATTATTTCCAGGGTTGGAAAAGTTACTTTATAAAACTATCTAGTTACAGCAACAGTTTTTTTCGTTAAAAATGTAACTATGTTACAATTACAAGTTACCAATTCTGAAAAGTAACGCGTTACAGTTATAGTTACTTTCTTGCAATGAAAATAAAAAGATCGAATCTGCAATTGTAAAGCGTCGATAAAGGCGTTTTTGCGCAAATGCAAGGTCTAACGCGATCTGTGGAGGTTTACAATATGTATTTAAAGTATTGTAACTATTAAATTCGTTACTAGTTATCGAAAAAATGTAACTGAGTAAAGTTACAGTTACAGATGGAGAGAAAGTACACTGATAGAAAAAAATATGTAGTATTTGAAACTATAATTTCACAGTATAATAATTATAGCGAGGAATAACATTTTTCTAGTAATTATTACTATAATATTAGTAATAGTAACCATATAGACACAGTATATTTTTAAAAATCACTATAAAATATAACCTTTTAACTATTATTCTGTTAAAATATCCAAGTAATGAATAGTAAATTCGTTAACTTTTTTAATATAGTAAATACAATTAAGGTAATAGTAAATTTAACTACATTTCTATCATCCACCTTACGTCACGTGGTAAACAAAAGTGAAGTGGTTCGGAATGTCCTCACTAGAGGGACGGGCGGTATAAGACTTTCTCGTAAGAAGAAAACCGCTTAGGGTGTTATAAATACGGATAAGTTTACGCATTCGTATAAGATTACTTATCTTTTCTTTGAAAGACGCTATCTTGTACTATTCTTTTTGAGTGCAAAGTGATGTAACCAATGAACGTAGTGAACTCAATGTATATATAATAAAAAGCAGGGAGTATTACTTCCAATATAAATACGATTACTACTATTACATATAGTTATTCGAAATTTTACACGTGGTTGTTAGTGCAATATTTACAATACTCCTTACCACATTGAAAGCTCGTTTTGGTGCATTATGACAACCATATCATAAGTTGCATGGACCAATATTGTGTCTATGAGAACTATAATACGTTGTTAGGTCAACCATAACTTACATACCCTGGTAGCACAGTGCATTGGCTAAACGTTGGCCCAACACAACCAAATATTGGGCCAATGTTTAACCAATGTTCGTTCAATGCACTGTGCTACTAGGGTAGTTGGAAGAATTATAAAAATGTGGTTGGCTCATAAAATGACTATAAATTATAGTGAGATTGTGATAAGTGCAACCATTTTTTTTGTCAGTGTAGTTATCGAAAAATCTAACTGAGTTAAGTTACAGTTACAGATGGAGAGAAAGTAACGAAGTTCAGTTAGAGTTACCAAAGAAAGTTACTACAACTATAACTTGGTTACAAGTAACGAGTTACTTCCCAACCCTGATTATTTTTTTACAGCTATTACTACGAAATCAAGCAAGTACACGTTTGGAAATGGCAAGAACAAAGGAGGAAGATGCATGTTACCTCTTTCAAAACTTCAGAAATCTGCATCGTCGTCTCTTGTCCTTCACCATATTGATTATAATTATTTCTATATTCTTTTATTTTCCATTAAGTTGAAATAAAAATAGCCAAGGACTTAACACGAAGAAATACTACAACTTAATAACGTAATTTTTAATTCTGAATTGCTACAGTAAAAAAATACGCTTTCTCGATTTAAAATGAACTTTGAGTAAAACTTAGGAAAAAACTATAAACACTTTATTTTACCAAAAAAATCAACGTGTTAATAACAACCAAAACAAAATTGCCCGGCCACATTGTACCATTTGCCCCGGTAACTTAAGCGCGATTGCTTTAAATATGATCGTAAAATTAACATTAGGCACGTCGATGTCGCCCGATTTTAACGATGTTGTCATCGCATCATATTTTCATCTACGCTCAATATTGAATTTAATATTGAGATTGATTGTTTATCATTTTTGGTTTACGGCCGTCTCTATCTTTTATCCGCACGCCGCTCATATAGACAATCATTAATTAAAATGATATCGATCGATTATTTTTATGTACTAGACACGAGCATAAACTCATGGACGATACTGGAACAGTAAGAAAATTGCGAGATTCTATCAGAATTTAAACTCTGGTGTAATGTAAAGACCTCGATAATTATTCAAAAGCAAAGCTAATTTAACATGTGCGTTATTTTTCTAAATGTTGCGATCTAATTTACATGATAAAATTAAATAATAAAGTATATGATAAACTACATTCATAATACCGCAATATAAACCGATATAAAATTTATATTATTCAACTAGAATTATACGTATAGAATTATAAGTATATATGTTAGAATGTTTATCGCATACTTTTAAATTTATATGCAAAAGAAGTGATTAATACCAATTTTGATTAAGAAGTCAATACCCCAATAACGTTCGATACTTCCGATAACATGTCGCAATCGCCCAACCAGTCATCTGTTTTTCATCGATCATTAACTGCGTGAACACGCTCTCGAAATGAACAGAGGGGTTTTAACAATTATTTCAACTGTTATAGCAATTGATGTATTTTCTGCTCGATTACACATACAAGGATGCAATCGAGCTGACCTATTTCCACGTATCGCAACTGCGCTTATTGATAAATTGTAGTGCAACAATAACAAGTCCTTTGGAGAAAGAAACGGCACGGGTGTAATCTTCATATTGTGATTCATAATGGTCGATTGTTCGTCTTTTATTTAAAAAAAAGTTTATTACGCAAAACATTTACTGTAGCCAATCCCGTGCACGCTTTCAGGGTTGAAGAGTCGCCAAGAAACCTGCACAGGTTTCTTCAGTGGGTAAACACTGTCCGAAGGCTTCCAGTAATAGCGGCTCCTCTTTGACCGCCGTCTCGTAATCTCGAAACGATATTTTTCCATCGTGATCGACATCGAGCTTCTTCAGGGCCAGCTCCGACAAGTCTTTTACCCCTTCGTCCGGATCTTCCTCACCGGGCTGCTTTATCAGGCAATTTCTACGAAATTACAAAAACACTTTACGACTACGAGTAAAACGGATATGACTACATCAGAGTAATAGGCTATTAATCGCTTTTTACTTGAGCAACTGAAAGATTTCGTCTTTCGTGATGTATCCGTCGTTGTTTAGGTCGTACACATGAAAGCAGAAGACGATCTTGTCACGTAGGCCACCCCGTAAAAACACGTCGAGTCCCATGATCCACGGCTCGAGTCTGATGGCACCCTCGATCTCTCGATCCCAACAACAGAACAAACGCTCTACCAAGGTGTCTTCCGTGATCACGTGAAAAGTATTGTGCAGGAGCTCTCGAAATATATTTCTATCGATTCCCTAAGTAATGTGAGTTTAAAACAATTTTTCAACGTAATTCGCATCAATTAATAACCTGTATACTGTTTTACTCTGTTTCAACACAGCCAACTTTTTCAATTGCATGTCACATAATTACCTCGACTGCCGGCCTCGACTGTGGCCTTCTGCCGATAGACATCGATCGCACAACTTGTTGGCTGGAATTAGTAGTTAACTTTTTGTAAAGTTTGCAGAGACTATCCAGTTCCACCCTGATAAAAACAAACCGAGCGGCAGATTAAACGATAATTTGTAATAGTTGTTTATTTTCGCTTCATGTGCGTTTATGCTACTAATAAATTAATATAATTCACAATAACTCTTGATTCCCATTAAAGAAAGTCATTTTTGTAAATCGTCTAGTTTCAAATTTAACTTTTGTCCGTCGGTTTAAGTCCATTTCAATTCCGTTTGTCCCTCCTCGTCGAGAATGACAAAACAAAACACTGAAAAATTAATTCGAGAGTCATTGCGATTGTCCCCGCGAACTCGCCTGGAGAATCTCGTCTTCTTTTTAAGGGACTCGATCACTTTGACGATGTACGCGGAGTTCCTGCCGCCTCCGCCCTCCGGCATCCTTCTGCGACGTCTTCTTCTGGATGACTCGTCCTTGTCGGAAACGGTGGAGATCTGACGCTTGGAGTTCGCCGACGCTCTGCGACCGCTCGTCAGGAATATGGAAACGCTCTTTATGAGCGTCGCGCCGACACGAACGCTTATGCCCGCCCGACGCTCGGCGCCGGCGCCGGCGCCGACGCCCGATTTAGTCCCCCCAGTCGACGTAACGCTTCGTTGCTCAGACATCTCTGTTCAGTGACTGAAAGTTTCCAACTGATCGCAATTTCGGTAATAATAATGATGAACCATAGATGGAAAATACAAGAACTTTGCATTAAAGATATATAAAAATATATATAATATTTGAGAACGTAGAAAAGAGAACAAATTATATAAGTATAGTACACTGACAGAAAAAATGGTTGCAGTTACCACAATCTCACTACAATTTATAGTCATTTTAGAAGCCAACCACATTTTTATCATTCTTCCAACTACGTAAGTTATGATTGACCTAACAATGTATTATAGTTCTCATAGATACAATATTGGTCCATGCAACTTACGATATGGTTGTCATAAACCAAAACAAGTTTTTAATTTGGTAAGGTGTACCATAAATATTGCACTAACAACCAGAAGTAAAATTTCGAATAACTATATACATATAATAGTAATAATTGTATTTATATTGTAAGTAATATCCCCGCTTTTTTGTATGCTCATCATCTAAGAATAATTTTCTTGAATGGAAAGGAAACAATATTGGATAAAAAGTTACGTGTATTTTCAAATCGATGGTTATAATGATTAAAATGATTTTATTGTCAAAATTATTATATGTATTCTTGAAGTGACAATTTATAGTATTTTAATAAGACTGTAATATTGTTTGAATGTAAGATTATTAAATGCTTCTAAGAAGATTGCAGATTATTGCGTATATACAAAACAACAAACGCGTTAATTTGATATAAGAGAGTTGATCTGACACTTTTTTCTTTGCGTGTTGTCCCACGCTTACATGATTTTCAAGCTAAATTAAAAAAAATTCTCTCCGTTTGCTTAACCATTTAGAAAAAGAAATGAAACTAGGAAAGACTGTTACCACGAACCGATGCAGGTGATTCGAGTCAATTGATCGACAAGAAATAATTCACGGTGCGGGGATGCAGTAATCTTTATTTTATAGCCGAAAATTGTAAACGGTCAATTATTGCTTGTAAAAGATCGCTTCTCTCTCGTGCAACCGAGTTATTCTTATTTACGATCGCATTTGCGTAATTTCCTTGTAACATTTGTTGATCCGTCGTCTCCATCAGCATTTTCGTGGCACGAGTAATATTCCAATGAATCTAAATCGTAGATTTATGTGCGCGTAACTTGGGCCGCGTGTATAGAGAAAGAGAATTCAATTTGCATGGAAAGAAAAATAACTGAGATTTACGATACAAAGCGCGCAATGACGAGCTGGCAATAGCTTACAATTTCACGTTATAAATAGTGCAAAGACTTCAAATGCATTACACGTTACATTTACTATTGTATTACCTGCTACTGTAGGTTGAGACAATAAAAAGGTCACGTTTCATAGTCGTTTTGCGAGATGAAATGTAGAAACTTTTCCCATTAGACAACGAGCTCACTTTATTACAACTCGCATTATAAATTATATCTAAAACAAGCCAACTCGTGCTTTATTTAGGAGTTGTATGAGCTGAAACGCAGTGCTACGTACAGTGCGGAAAATCGAGAAAACTTTCAAGCACACACTTTTAATTGCTCAATTATTTTGACTAAAACTCGTAATTGTGTATCTCTGTTTAATTAAGGAGCAACATGACTTCAACGTTTGCATGTCTTTAAGTGAGGGACTATTATTTTATATGTATAACGCAATCGTTCTTAACGTGCCTCGAAAATTACCCCCGTAAACACAAGAGGACATTCATTCGCAAAATTGCAATGCGGAAAATGATAGAATCTCAGATGAAACTTCTTCTATTTCATCATATTATTCGTCTCATCAGTCTTACGCGTCTTTCACTTTTACATGAAAGTCTTTTGTCGAAGATCGTCACGATGAAAAATTCCACATCTAATTTTGGCCCGTTTTTATTCTGCATGAATTTAATAGCACTTGAATGCAATTTCACAATGATTCGAATTGGCAAAATCGGAACTACGATAGTACCTTAAATTAGATCATGCTACGATAATGATCGACACGTGTGTTTCCTTGCCTACGGAGAATCTCAATTTAACTTCTCTAATTTCTAACTTGTGATTGACGTTGCATGCATATGAGTCTCGCTTTAAATCTGAATGTATTGATTGAAACAAGCCAACTAGTAATTATCGACATAATTGATTTCTCAGATTTTACAGGATTTTTTAAGATTTTAATATTTTAATTTATCTGAGAAAGTGTTGTATCGCCGTTTCTTCGATTTTGTTATCTCTGAAATATAGATATTAAATAAATAAAAATAAATACTGATGATTCGTAACTTTCTCACAATTACGCCAATTAGGCCCGAAAAATATAGTCCTCAATTACAAGCACAGCAATAGTGATAAATAATTGAAATAGCAATCGCACACTTTATTATTTAAAAAAATCACTGAAAGAATTAGAGATCGACGAAGTGCACTGTGCAATAGAATATACGGAGGTCTTGAGAGCGAATTTTTATCATCGATATTTATTCCATCGTGCAAGAATGGTTTGAGATGTTAAACGAAATTCATTGCCTCCTGTTCGTTTCATACGCGTATAATACGATCAGCAGGTTCGATTTTAAATCACGAAAAACTTACCAATTAATGACAAAAGAGCTGCTTCGTCGCGACGAGGGTTTCGTCGTCAACAGCGACTACGTTTTATCGACCAAACGTATCAAATGACGAAGCTGAAAAACATTTCAACACAATATCTAGCAACAGATCGGTATATCGCAGGTGTATATTTTATGCGTAATAACAAGACGAGAAACATTGTAATAAAATTTTATATTAAATAATATTGACAACATACATATACGTCGTTTAGAATTTTATTATAATTGTTTACTCGTTTCGTTCACATCATTTATTCGCGTTTTAATTAATTATAGCCTAAATACAAAGTAATACATTGATAATTGCTCAAAGAGACTTTAGCGTATTTATTAAAATACCATTAGATCTTTCACAACTTTCGACATTGTAGAAGGAATATATTTTAAATCATTAAAATTTAATCATTTGCATTCGTACATTACATCGGAACTTTAATATATTAATGTGTATTAGGCTCTGTTTTAGAGCGTCTATTTCACATAATCGCTACTTTATTTAACTGTTCAATGGAAGAAATGTCGTCATCGGAATTCACTTCAAAAATGGCTGTCGACGTCGGATGTTTTCTGAAATGTCGAAATTAATGAATTAGCTGGTGACGTTAGAGTGACGCATTTCTTATAATTATATTTACTCTCTTACTTGCATAACTTGTCTAAATATTTTCGAATTTGCGCCACCTGACGTTGAATATCAATTAACTCATTAGTCATCCGTTCTTCCGTTGCGAAAGACGCGGCTTCGTATCCTTCGGCGGCCCGTTCTGCAATTCATTTTAAAACATGAACCGTCTCTTCCCTTTTTCGGCATATAACTTTATATTTCTTTTAAATATTCAGACTTCTCAATATTAACAAACTTGACGGTCGAGGCGTATCTCGACCAAGATCTGCAATTACTTACTGATGCGAATATGCTCATCAGTAATCTCCCCGTCTTGAGAGACAATATCAATCTTCTTCATCATATTGATTAGCTCTTTTACGTTATCTACATTATTATTTACGTTCCTCATTGATGCCTGTAAGAGAGAATCTGTATCGTTGTCAAGCTTAGTATGCACATTTCTCACCCTCGATTGTCCTTGGACGAGTTGTTCGATAAGCGAGCTAAGCTGATTTAGAAATTGTATCTAAAATGCAACATTTAAATGTAGTCGATAGAGGAAAGTCATCTGTTATGAGGCAGACTCCTAATATGAGACAACGGGGTTCTACTAAATTAACAGGCGTCGTCTGTTGGTCCCACCATGAATTTATTGCCATTGGAGTGAGATCTGTTTAGTGGAGAATTTATTGTTAGATCGTGTACAATTGAATTTGGATGTTGAAAACCTGCTATCTCATATTAGAAGGTTATCTCATACTAGCAGACTTTTCCCTAATGACAGATCGCTCATTAATTAACAATGTGCAAACAATTTGTATCGTTGGAGTTACGTTACAGCGTATTGTCGGACCTTTTGCTTATTGTCATCCTCGTTTTTGCCCATTTTTATGGCGAAGTTCACGAGCTTCTCGAAGTTCTCCTCATACAATGCAACCAGCTCTTTTAGTTGCTCCGGCGTGTTTACGGGAATTTCCTCGTCTGTTAAATTCAAACAGTCACACAACACTCTCTAACCGGCTCGATAATGATTGTCGTACGTGAGTATTTAGTCTCTAATGTGAAACGCAAATGCGAAACATGCAAGTCCTACCTGTGTCTCTTGCGTTCGAGAGCGAGACCGTGCGGCACTGTGCCTGAAAGCGAAATTTTTATTCCAGCATATTTACACACGTGTATACGTGTATATACTAAAAATTTTTTTAGTAACCAAAGTGTAACATATTGTAACGAAATTACACGCATATAATACAAGTAAGACCTAAATTTTCGGATGACAAATCGAGGACACATTTTCAGTAAACTTCAACTTCAGAAACTTACTCCGACCGCAAAGGCGGCAAATATAATTGCGAAAGACTTCATCTTTATGTTTCGCTTGCACGTGGAACTTTCTTGATTCGCTAAGGGAAACTCTACTGTTGTGAGACCGTCTAATAGACGAGGTCGTTTTATAGTCGTGCATGAACAAAGGCACTTGCGTGTGCAACGTTTGCCAAAACATTTGACGGAAACATCCGGCGAGGAATAAACGAACATATCGCCGTGCATAGATGCGCGCGATTATGCTGTGGAATTAGATACAATTGCATTTCGTATTACTGAGAGCAACAGTACCTTTTCTGTCGTTTAAATATCGGTTACGTATAGAATATTAGAGGAAAGTTTCGTATTATGAGATAGGCTTCTAATATGAGATAGCAGGTTTTCAATACCCAAATTCAATCACAAATCTCTTTTCGCAACAAATACACAATTCAAAAATAAATTTTCCACTAAACAGGTTTCGCTCCAAGAGCAACCGATTCATGGTGGAATCAACAGACGATGCCTATTAATTTAGTAGAAACCCCGCTGTCTCATATCAGGAGCCTATCTCATAATAGGAGATTTTCCTCCAATATTTTCCAAGTAGAATATACTTAATTTGATTATGAACAGGAGAATTGCCAGTGACGTCTGACGAGCTGCTCTCGAATTTGCACAGAATGACAATCCCTTTCAATGGCTGTCACATTTCTACGCTTAAAACTACCATAAACGCGATTCGCGATCGTGGATATTCGACGACTGATTAAATTGAGCGGTAAAGGCTGCGATCGGTGAATCTGAATTATTTATTAATCAAAACTCGATAAAGCGAAACAAAGTAGAACATCTAATAATTAAATTGAAACTGTGCAAAACGTAATGACAAATTACTACATTAGCTGCAATTTACGTGATTAATTGATTGGGACAAATCAGACAGGCGGATTTTACATTTTGTTTAAATAAATTTATTCCGCGTTAAAGTACGAGCGTTTATCCATACAATAAGAGCACAAAACAATTTATCGTAACGTAAGTCCATTCTCAATGATAGTCGGTTCTTTATGTTCCTCATCGTCCATATCCACTGTAATCAAACCGCATTGTTACGTGTCAATAAACAATTTTATCACACTATGACAGAAATGTCTTGAGATCAATGTATCAGATATTACGAGATTATATCAAAGACTTTTTTTCTACATCTTACAATTATTCGTAAGATCTTTCCAATGACGTCGATACATTGAAGGTCCTTCGACACAATTAATCGGTTCGCGATATTTACCCAGAATTGGCAAACGAGTGCGCGAAGGAGCCACTGCCAAACGGCGTGCTTATTGAACCGGCATTGGCCCCGCTGTTAGCGAAGCCGGGATAGTGAGATCCTCCCCCGCATCCTCCCCTGCATCCGCCTCCGCCGAAACCACCGTGTCCTCGGTGCCCGAATCCTCCGGGATAATGTGATCCTCCGGGATAATGTGATCCTCCGGGATAATGTGATCCTCCGGGATAATGCGATCCCCCGGGATAATGTGATCCTCCACGATGACCGTGATAACCACCGAATCCGCCGCCGAATCCGCCGCCGTATCCGCCGCCGTATCCGCCATAGGCGCGTTTAAGACGAGCGGGCTCCGGTGCTGCTGCTCCGTTTACCCTTAGCAGATCTGAAGAAATTTTAACAAGGTATTTATTACGTGTATTTAGAGCTACAGGATATTAAAATGCAAGGATATAGGAAGTACATACAAATGGTAAGGCAGCAATAAAATCTGCCGCTGTCAGTGAGCTCTATACACTGACAGGAAAAAAATGGTTGCAGTTACCACAATCTCACTATAATTTATAGCCATTTTAGGAGGTACAACCGCATATTTATAATTCTTCCAACTACGTAAGTTATGACTGACCTAACAATGTATTACTTATAGTTATTTAGTTATTATAGTTATTATAGTTATTATAGTTCTCATAGACACAATGTTGGTCCATGCAACTTATGATATGGTTGTCATAAACCAAAACGAGCTTTTAATTTGGTAACGTGTACTATATATAAATATTGCAATAACACCCACAAGTAAAATTTCGAATAACTATATGTAATAATCGTATTTACATTGGAAGTAATATTCCCCGCTTTTTATTATACAGGGTTTGTCAAATGGGATTTGCGCATGACAACCGGAAATAACGCTCGAACGGACAAATAAAAAAAAGAATTTAGACTATCTGGTTCAGTTCATTTAAAAAATAATTAAATAAGATAGGAAAGTCCCTTATTATAAGATAAGCTTCTAATATGAGATAGCAGGGTTTTTGCTAAAATAATAGACATCATCTGTTGATTCTACCAGGAATAAAATCTGTTTAGTGGAAAATTCATTGTTAAATCGTGCAGTCGTTGTTAACAAAGATTCGTCAGGAAATTTTGATATTGAAAACCTGCTATCTCATATTAGAGGCCTATCTCATAATAGGAAACTTTCCTCTACTAATTGCAATTTGTTTATTAATGTATAATTCAATATATCAGATTCTACCAGAAATTTCAACCACAACAATTTTGCCAACGAGCGGAGCATGTAATCACGTAAATGAATCACGAGATATTCATAATGTCAATGTCACCATAAAAAGCAGATAAACTGATTTTCTGTCAATCAACGTACAATGTGCCTCGTTCGTTAAAGTCAACCTGTTCAATTAGAAGCTCGGACGAATCGAAACCGCATGACAAATTAACGCATGCAACGCTGCGTTTTGGAAAGAAATCTCTGGCCGTCTCCAAGAACCGTCGAATCTACAGGATGACACGAAACACTTTTGAAGACATTAGCATTTCCGATGATCTTACAATCTGGATACGAGCCGGGTGAAAAATTGATAACATAATAACCTACATTTCCCACAACACTTTCGCGAGCGACAGCCGATTTTTCGTCTTTACCTTGAGATTGTGGTGCGTGCGCCGGAAGTGCTACTGCAACTGCAACGAGCAGCGCAACGAGCAAGAGGATCGCGATCCTTGACATTCTGCCGATACTGCACGCGCTGCCGAGGATATTCAGTGCCAAATGACGATGAGAAAATCGGCCAAGCAGTCTTTATATACAGGGTCCCGTCCGTGTTCCGGGATATCCCGACGCCGCGCGTTTACGCACAGATACGAAACGGAGTTTCGGCCGCGTCGAATCAGCCGTATATCATTAGCACAAACAAAACGAGCCTTTTCTTTGTCGTTGTGGGACCGATTATGCGCCCGCTGGCGCTGTGTCCCTGGGACGACTTCCTGCTCACTCGATGGAACGTCGTTTTGCGACAAGTCCCAACGGATGATCCGATCCAGCAGTATCGCTTGATGGATCGCCTTCGTCATTGGTTCCCAAACTGTTAAGAGAAAATAGCGCGAAGACATGCAGGTCCATTACCAATAAAAGTCTTTTTACCAACAGCGATTAATTAATTTATTAATATTGATTTACAATTTTCAATTAATGATTACTTAGCTTACGGTAATTATTGTACATCGACTTGACGGCAGCTAAACTTCTAAGCTAATTGTTAAATAGTTAAGCGAAAGTAATTCGAATTTTTATAAATTAATAATTTGTACTTAAATAATTCAAAACCTCTTACAGGAATGTAATATTAAGATAATGCCTTCTTAAAATATAATAAAGCTAAAAACATTTGGCAACCGCTGACAAAGGTAATCGTGTCAATTTGTTTTAATAGTGGAGTCCAAAAAAACACACAGTTGTGTTAGAATTAATGGTCCAAGTTGAAGAGTATAAACAGGTGAAGTTTCTGTCTGATGTTTTTTAAAAGGCAGACAAAAAATCGTGGACATATTGAAGAGAGTTCAACGATTGGCGTGGCTACAACAATAAAGATTTCTACGAAGGAAGACGCGAGTACCAATTTTGGCGCGTAATTAATGCCCGACACACTGTCCGCATTATTTTGGAATATTTTATCCTCGTCAGAATACGACATTCTTGATACCCTCGTTATTTTGATAGAATCGCGCGATGAAAATTGTAGAAACAAGACATTCATGTAAAATTGCTATGTACCAGATGGATTCCATCTTTAGGAAGAGCAACGAGAGAAGTTGATATTACAAAATCCAGCATCCGGGATACGAAGGTGAAAACTCGTTTCTGACCCTTTCCATCTTCTTACAATACGCAGTTGCATAACTAAATATTCAAAACACCATTTCTCAAACTGTCGTCGTACGTATATAATCGCCTTTAGATGACATTTATTGTCCAACGTTAATTACACACGGGTACCGGAATGGACGGCTTAAAGAACCGTGAAATCTTGCTTGCCTATTAGGAGATACATCAGCGATCAAGTAATGACCTTGATTTTTCTCGGGACTTCACAGTCTTAGGTCGATGAACGAATACACTTCGGGATTCCCGACTAAGTACTCAGTTAACCCACTATTACTGACAACTCAGTTTTTTTTTATGTTCGAGAATCTATTTAAGCACGTTTTCTTTTGGGTTTTGAATCTTTATACTCTAAATTATCGATTGACTTTAAAGTAGAGCTTTGTTAACAGGTTATTTGAAAATGCTTTAAAATAATATTTTTATTTTTAGTTCTCATATTTCTTCATTCTTATAAAATTGTTTTTTTTAATGATTTAGAACGGTTTTTGAAATATTTAGATGGCTTTTTGGATACAGTGTGCTACAAAAGACGTTTCGAAGACTTATATTCGGGATTTTAAACATGCATTGTGGGCTGCAACCTTGAAGATATTGTAAGTAAAGTCGGAGACATGAATACCAAGGTATATTATCACATAGGTAAAATTAGAAAATATTCCGATGACGTATGTAAATCGTGTACAAATTTGCTTCAGACATTTCTCCAATTAGCAAATACTTCGAAGCTCCACTCACAGATGGGAATTCCCATTGCTATTCTATTCTAATGTGGAACGAAATTATTAACATAATTAAGATAGTTGTTTCGCGACAGTAATGCTCAAAAGTTGCTTCCAGACAGGAACCAGCATTCAATTATTACAATGATATATCTTGATACAATATTGAGGTGCTGTTGCCACATCTCTTACACTACGCTCATGTCTACTACATAATTCTTATAATTTTTCAGTTTTTTTCAGTTATTTGTTCTATTTTACTTTATAACATATTTGTTTCTCATACACACGAATCTCACCGTTAAGCTTAAAAAAGTAAAATGTACCATTATTTGTATTTGCAAACGCAAATATTGATATTTTAACACATAATATGTGTAAATAATATTTCATGTGTAATATAATAATATTACAACGAATTATATTGTTACGTGTAATAACATTTTTAATGTGTTTTACACGTAATATTTCGTGTAACATAGCAAACTTTAACATTTTTTTTAGAACTTTAAGACGGTCAATTTTAATTTAATTAGTATTATTTTGCACGTATTAATGTAAATAATAAACTGTAAAAATTTGACACAATTCTCATATAAATGATTATATATATTTTACGAAATAACTACCTTAAAGTACAAACTCTCATTCGTGTTATGTGTATTTCGCCATTTATGTTCCATAGGAATCGCAGAAGTATTTTGATTCGTTCGGGTTAGGAAGATAAAGATATACTCGCACAATTCGCGTCGTTTTTGCATCGTGTCCAAACAAAGTCGTTTTAAAAGTTACATCACCCTTAAATTTGGAACTTCCGACGGTGGAACTGTATTATATGCGCAACATTCATACATTATTCCTTCCAAAGACGAACGATTACAATCTTGCACAAGAAGTGCAAGGTGACCCCACAAATTTCCAGACTTCTACCTCAATCCACTCGAGACACTATTTGTCCAATAGGCGTGAACAATTCGCGCCTTTAAATTATTCGCGAGGCGTAGCATCTTTCTGCTTTCGCAACAGTCCATTTTATAAATTTATATTTATCAGAGCATTTAATTAACTGATGATCATTTTTCTTTCCTTGAAAATCAATGGGGAAAACATCTCGAAATAAACTTGACGCCATTTCTTTGTTACTAAAATTTCTTAAACGATTCATCTGTATCGTTATAAAGCAAATGTCCCAATAAAAAATTACCTTGTGCAAATTTATTCAGGAAATTACTGATGCTTTGAAGTTGTAGATCTCTGTTTAGACCATAGAGATATAAGAATAGAATGCGCGAGTCATAGGCTATGGCGTAACCAGCTGCGCGCAAAGACTGGCAAAGATAAAGACAGAAGGGGCCTTTTTGTAACTTTCTCTTACTATTACTATATCGCTTTTTTAGTTCACTCGCGCACTCTATTCTTATATCTCTATGGTGTAGACCGAGTTTTTATGAGCTATACACATACGGTTAAATTTAATAAGGATAAAATGTCAGGGTTTGACTTCACATGCTTCTTCATGACATTTGTCATTATTCGTTATACATATACAATTGTTTTTTTATTATTAATTTATTACTGAGCATTAATAATACACGCTACTTTGCATAAAATTTAAAATGCAGCGCGTAATTAGTCACGGGTGGTTTTTAGAATGCACGTTGATAATAAATGTGTCTCAACCGCGGATTATGTGCTTATATTTACGTTCGATGTTACATCATGCATCCAAGTGTATATTTTACAAGCTTTACATAAATAACATGCACAAATTCTACAACCGTCATAATACAGTATAAATTATCTATATTTAGAAATTCAGAGGGCAGAAAGAAGTCTTTTATCCTTAGTATCTTCATACATCTTATTGTATCTAGGTACTAAATTACCACTTACAATGAAAAAGTTGCGTAGATTGTTGATTGTACAAAACAGTGTTTATTTTTTATCGAAAAGTTTATATAAAAATGAATTTCATTGTGAGATTTTGAATTCTCCTTGAATCATACGTGGATCATTTAAAAAATTCTCAGAAGGAATCAATTTTTTGATACCATGTCGAGAGCCAGAAAAAGAGCCACTTTTGTCCTTTCTAATCCAACACTTTTAAACCGGTGCATCTTATTTACATGGAGAGAATTTTCCCTTTAAAATTTATCCTGAAAATCGTGTATTCGCGGGACAACACGGCATTTCGAAGAATTTTATGAGAGTTTTTATTTAGCAATTATACTTACAATTAGTATATATTTTACTAGTAAAATGTATGGTAAATTTTCAGAAAACTCATAAAGTTCTTCGGAGTGCCATGTTCTCTCACGATTACACAATTTTCAGGGTAAATTTTAAGAGAAAATTCTCTTCGCGTACTCTACATGTTTACGAGAGATTGCCAGCTTCTACCGGGACACCCTGTATAAAACGAAATTATGTTGAAAACTAAAAATAATTATAAAAAGATAAAGGAAGCTGATCTACTTCATTCTAACAACTTTTCAAATGACTCTCGTACATTAAAGTTTGTATTTGTCATTGCTGTGAGTTTTATACGAATAACAAATGAGCATATTACACACTTATGTGTCGTAAAATAATAGTATAATATACAATTTAGAAATCCAGAAGGCGTAAATAATTTAATACTGCTTTTATTTTAATACTTTTAATTCTATAAAAATATTTACTATAAAATATTCAATATTATTTCTTCAGTAAACTAATGAGTATAGAGAATATATCAGGTATATTTATTTTAATTGGCAAATTCATTATACATAAATCAATTTCATGAGATTCCGGATTCTTCACGAGCTCGTTAAGTTTTTACGAGCTTTAGATTTCAGGCGACTATCGTGTGGACGTTTAATTACAGTGTTCCTTGTCTACATAAAAATATAAGATAAAAATATAAGTTGTGATACAGATAAATATAATTGTGGATTATGCTAGTGTGAATTCTTTGTATGTTATTATAAATTACGGTTGTAATGTATGCCACGAAGAAGAGGCTAAAATATATTGAATTATTTAAAAAGTAACCGTACGTATTACTTTGGATGTAAATTGAAACAAATTACCTAAGATTCGCTAAATCGAACAATTACAATCTGTCTGAAGTTTAATACAAAGCAGCACAGCAATAATTTAAAACTCGGTGTAGTCTAAATATTGAAAGATTGCAAATTTGCGTAGGTCTACTTAACATTAACAAAGTATTTTACGTAATAAATTGCATAATGTCGGACAAGCCCAGCGTCTTTCTAAACTAGTTTCTCGAAAATACTTCCGCGTCTAACTTGATATTAATTTCTCTTTAGATGTCTGAGATGTGACAAATATTTAACAAAACATGTAAAAAGACGTGACGATTACATGAATAACCTTTGGGAAAATATACTTTAGAAAATCTCAAAATTTTACTTTAGAAAAATAAAAAATATGAAAAGTAACCTTGGACACTTTAAACTTTTATTTAAGGTAAACTTAAAACGCACTTTAAGAATATAAAAGAAAACTTTAAAAATGTTGAAAAGTATACAATTTATAATACCGCGTGTGGTTGTCTTCTTACGAGAAAGTGCTATGCCGCGCGGCCCTCTAGCGGGAACTTCGACACGCTTGGCTATCTAAAAATTACTCTAAGTGTCCAAAATTACCCCAAAATTTCCTAATGAAACTTTTAACTTCTTTAAGTAAACTCTTAGATTTGAAAGATTACTTAAAAAATCTTTAATTTCGTTCATAGTAAATTTGTTCCAAGAGAACGTGCAAGAAATCCAAAGATTGTATCTTCATCTTAAAAACACCCAGGCGGACTCAGCTGTTCAACTCGTCACTAACATCCATCGTTTTAGGAATTATTCCTTGTATGGCTGCGGGCGTCGTTTCTTCCTAACAAAAATATATGAATTTTTATAAATTTGCTTACATATTTGTTCTTACTGTTTATAACGATTGCTTGAACAGAGGTAGTTGCTCCCTGCAAATGCTACAAGTAATTCAATGCATCCAAAATGCTCTCGACAATTTAACAGAATCTTCCAACACAATCAATTAATTACAGTAATTTATCTTTCAACGTGTTTCTTCATGGAGATAATCAATGGAAAGTGAAAGATAACTTACCCGGTTGGAGACCCGCCGTAGGCAGTTGCTACCGAGCTAGCGACTCCGCCTTTTCCTGTGGAGTAACTATTCGCAATGGCGGTGATGGCACCAGGAAGAGATCCAGAGGACCCGGCGCGAGTAGCCAGTCTCGGGAAGCTGAAGACCATGGGAAAGAAGTTGTTTAGATGGGGATAACCCTGACGACGTCTGTTGCCCTTAAAAGGTACGAACGGCACGGCCGGTTCATCGTCTTCCTCGTCCGCATCGTCCTCGTCATCGTCGTCGGCGTCGACAGTTATGGGCGTCTTATGCGTTTTCTTGCTATGATGCACCTTCGGTCGGACTGCAGACACCACCGTGGCCGTGATCGGCTTTTCTGTCGGTTGCGCAATCTCTGTGGTCAGCGGAATCTGATCCGATTCATGGTGTCCCTGTATGGGTATTACAAAAATCTGTGCACTCCATAGAGAAACATTTATCAAATTTTTCGTCAACATGTGAAAAGTAGGAGCATGGACTAATCTCGTAATTTTAATCAGGCATCTGAAGTAGACTTTGCAATAGATTATAGGCACCCACCACCCAGTGAGAAATAATTCGTCGAAACACCGTCGATTCGACGTCAATTTGACGGCGTCGATGTCGATTCAACATCGTTTCGACATCGATTGACGAGTCATTTCTCGCCGGGTATACTCTTATTCCCAGATAGCATAAGACACCCCTATGAACATTTTCAGAATATTCTTCAAGAATATTTGGAATATTCCACACTGATAGAAAATTATGTAGTATTTGAAACTATAATTGCATAATAAAATAATTATAGTCAGGAATATTATTTTTATAAGTATATATTTTTAATTGTATTAATTTATATATATATTGACAGAATATTCGCTTGTGGAATATTCTGAAATTAAGAATATCTGCTCTCCAGGAGCATATTCATACAACTACGTGTGCTATCTGGGTTTTAGGATTCCGGTCGTCATACGTTTATTATTGTATTTAAAATTAATTTTTGCATGTACAATCGAATGTAAACCTCGCGAGATCATCGTACCTGAGGGACCAGAGAATCCTGATGATGATGATGATGATGATAATGCGGCTCGTCGCGATGGAGCTGTTCCTCCTCGTCGTGGTGGTGGTGCTGCTCCTCCTCGTGATGATGGCGATGATACTCGTGTTCCTGCTCTTCTTCGGGCGCCGCCTGCGCCTCGGCGCTGGACACTTCCGGCTCCTCGATCGGTTCCGGGCCGTCCTTGAAATGCGGCGCGTGCACGTCGCCGAAGAAGGCCTCGCCGCTCACCGCGTTTCCTTGCGCGAACACGCCCGTCGCCTGGCCGCCGTTACTCGTGCGACGTATCGGTCTGTAGTAACCGGCGAACATCATAGTCCTGTGCGGATAAGGGCGTAGGGCCGCCCTCTTCTCCCTCAGGAACATTACAGGGTTGCCGTAAGCATCCAACGTGATGGAAACTGTAAAGTTAAAAGGGTGATTATAATCAAAGTATCATACAGTTTATCAATTTTCAGCTTTGTTCTTGAGAAAATAATCTTATGCCTTTGGGCCTATTGATAGAACTTGAATAATTATTGTCACTTATATTTGAAATGTCGGTATCTATTGCTCGACACATTTATCGTTCTACTTTTTCACCATTAATTAACATTACATCCGAGAAATTTGGAGATCTCCGTACTATACAGAATGTTCTTTGTTTAATCTTTAAAGTTAAAAGAACATTAATTTCCAACGCTTACGAGGCTCGGCCGGAATCACCCTCGACTCCGCCATCGCGACCGTCGACGCGATCGCAATCAGAGCAAAGCTAATGCAGCCAGCCATTCTGGCTCTGATTTTAATCCGATCTTTCGTAACGATCTCTTCTTTACCCCCGTCACACGTTTGACCAGAGATCTACCGGCCTTCTCGCGCTTGAGCAGTCTTTAACGGGAAATCCCGATAGTTAAGCGGCTCACTTCCACCGATCTCGAGGCACCAACTTTTTGTACGAGGCTGGTTGTCCTTACCGGCGCAATAGCTTTTATACCGCAAAGCACATGCAGGACGATGGGATGGGTGGGTACTTTGATACGGGGGTATGGAACGAGTCGGACCCATTGGTGGATGCACGGGGGATACGAGCGGATGCCCCACCAGCCTTCGTCAGGATCGCGGTAAAGCAAACGCGCGCGTCGTCGAGAGCTACGTGATCGTCATGACCGATGAGATACGTGAATTAATTGTGATCCGCGCCGATGACAATCTGGATTCGCGAGATCGGACCGATATGGGGAACGGCCATGATAATCCGTTGATCGAACTCTTCTACGCATGTAAATGGCATGGAATTATCGGCGGTTACGCGTACGTGTGTCTTCTAAAAGGAAAGTTCTAAATAATCGTCATGTGCGAAGAGACAGTATCTCATAACACACATGTCTGGCGTTTTGCGCCGAATTGTCTTGACAAGCGTACTGACGTTGATGATATTTGAAAACTTTCTAAATTAGGGGGAAAAGATTATAAGTTTAGGAAATTTTGACTTCGTACGGTATGGTCATAGATTTTTCTTTAATTATCTTTTTTTTCTATCAAAATGTTTTATTTAATTTATGCGGGTGAACACAAGTATTGTAAAAAAAAAACGTAAAGCAAGGGATAATAATTTTTATAAAAATAGACTATTTTGTAATGCAATTATTACTATAAAACGGTCTATATCTCTAGAAGAGAATGATCGCCAACTTTTTTTTATTAAGATAGCTACATTAAAATCTTTATAATGACCGAGGGGTCGTAAGTTTTATTTTCAAAAATTAAAATGAAAACTAAGTATTTTTGTTAACTAATTTTGTTATATTATGAAAATCCGACGCAACGAGGACCGAGCCGTAAAACCATGGCAAAGTCGCGACAATACAATATACCGAAAGAAGCTGGAAAAATTACTTGAAATAGAACATTGAGATAGGATTCTGCGAAAAGTATAATAAGCTCTTTAATCTAGACCGCCAACTTTTGCCTCCTGAAATCATTAGAGTTGGAAAGTCAAATCTCAAACCCAGAAATTAATAAAATTTAATATCTAAACCCATGGAAAGATCTTAACCAAGTTTGACAATGTTGTTTTATTCTGCGAAAAATTCTGCGAAAAAATAGGCTAATATAATAAATTAATATTACTTCGGTATACATAAAACAATTATTTTGGATTCAGGTGCCTGTATTTTTTGGGAAAAAAGGACAGGAAAAAAGGAAAAACTCTTTGAAATCGGTATTGTGAAATTTTGTATATTACCCGAGAGAAGCTGGAAAATAAATTTAAATAAAATTGGGATATATACAAAGAGTAACTAAAAAAAAGATATTGAACAAGAATGATATTAAAAAAAAAGGTGATTCGAGAGAAAAGGGACCCGAGCGAAGCTCGGTAAGACCGGTAATTATTCGTATGTATGTATAAAGTCAGAATTTTTTGACACATCGAATAAAACGTTACGTTGTTGAAGATTTCTAATTTAATTCTTCCACTACTTTATTTTAATGACGGAAGTGGCTTTATTTTAATGACGTAGTCGTTGACGGAAGGGAACATTGGGCGCCTGAATAAATCCTGAATCGCAGAAAGAATCGGGCTGACTCGAGGTTTTTGGCTCGTGACTGAAACAATGTGCTTATAATGAATTCGCTTGGGAAACGGCGGGAATGTGAATGGACGATGGTTGACGAATGTCGCGAAGGTCCATTGGCCTCCTCACTTTCCCTCTCGCGACGTGAGTTACTGAGTCACCCCGATCGAGACGCGATAGAGGAATCTAGCGTTCCAGACAAACAGACTCGCGGGCAGCTTCATGCATTTTCAATCGTTCTAAAAATACACGCGATCTGAGAATCGAAGGATTTTGTTCACTGGCCATTTTCCTCCCCGATAAGGCCATCGATACACGCTATCGGTGCGCTCACGCTCCGTTCTTTTCGTGTCTCTTTCTCTCTTTCCCTTCAGTCACTACTGGAGCGTTGCTTAATCTAGTAGCACAACATATTGACGCAAAATTGGGAAATAATGCAAATCTCGTATTCCCAATATTGGTCCAATATTGTAAGATGGACGCCTTCTCTTATTTAGCTAATATGTCTATTTAACAATATCGGTTCAATATTGTATCAATATTATGTCAATATTCTTATTACATTGTTAAATATTAATTAAGCTTGTAATCGACCATAACTGGCAACGTGTCTTTAACACAGAAAATTTATTGCGAACAATATTACCTCAGCCAGGGTATGAACCTGGACCACCCTCTCTCTAGGCGGGCGTCTCACCAATTCGACCACCGAGGCTAATGATAATATTTGTCGCAATAACAGTATAAAGATGTTGTCTACGCGTATAGTTTCGACTTTTGTGAACTTCGCACCGATACGGATTGTCGGCTGTACACAGCTAGGACTATCGAAACGCGATTTTTAAGCATTATTTTTCGCAATAAATTTTCTGTGTTAAAGACACGTTGCCAGTTATGGTCGATTACAAATTAATTTAATTATTATTAGTCATGTACTGGCGTCAAATAATTCTTGATATTGTTAAATATTGGCCAGTGCACTTTCAATATAAATCTAATATTATATAATTATTATATTATCGTGCAATATTTACATTTATTTCTTGGCCAATATTGGCTTTACGTTGGACAATACCCTAGCGGAAAAAAATTCTATAAATAACTACAAAAATTTACTTGAAATAGTTTGTATATCTTTGTTGAAACATTAATTTTTTTTGTAAAAATATCTACGAAGTAGTACCACAAATTATAATGTTCTCAAATCAAGAAATTATTGTAAGTATTGTAGTATTTCATGTACAATTTTGTAAAACTTAGTGCAAAACTGTATTAGTTTGTAAAATTTTGAGAAACAACAAAATCTTAAAGAATTAAAACGTATGCTTACTTGTAGAATATTATAAAAATTAACAAAAGTGTTCCAATTCTTGCATTTTCGTGTTGAGTTTTATAACACTTTTTAAATTTACGTGGAATTTCTTAGATTCTGGCAGATATATTTTATAGTTTTGTAGAATTATTTCCGGCAGGGTATTGGCCAATGCATTTCTAATATAACCAACATTGAATTAATGTTTAGTCAATGCACTGTGCTACTAGGGTACAGTGCGAATACTTACATTATGAACAATGATAGAATATGTGGATCGGATTGCGAGCGGACTGTGAGTGGAACGTGAGCGGACCAATAGTGTGTATCATCAGACTTGATGCTCCTTCTGAGAAGATTTTCACGACTACTAATAAAATGGGAAGCCCGGTAAATATTGTTGCAAAAATTACGACTGGTAACGGTTAAAAAACTTGAAGACGATACGGAGTATAGGGTCAAAAGTACAAATTTAAACCGGAATAACAACCACGTGAATAAAACGATGGTGTCGACAAGCGAATGCAGTTACGTGAAAGTCGGCTTAGCGCTTCGGGAAGTTACGACTGAGGGATGCGCCGTCGCATTCGTCACAAACATAAAATGTGAATAAAAGCAGGGACACGCCAGACAGACGTAGTTGAACGGAGACTTGTCAGTCTCCATCAAGACGGAACTATGAACGTGTTTTACTATTCCAGACGCGACAGCCACCACCATTGGACTCCTTGATCATCCCCGAAGAATTATTGTCACCTCTGACCAGCCATACCTGTTCGGGCGAGTATAACTGACATAATATTAATATTAAGAAGTCGCACGTGCGGCGCGTCGCGTAGAGTAGGGAGTTACGTCAAACTCGCGTCACATTATTCGTGGATGGATCCGGGCACCTTCGCATAAATCCTTACGATTACGATTCCAGAGTCCGCGGTAAGAACGTCTCGTAATCTGAGTCCACTCCTTCCCTCAAGAAAATGTGCTGCGGAGATTGATTTCGATGCTCTCCGAGAAGGAAGAGGCAGCGGTGCATAAAAATGTTCCGGGGGAATGACGTACGAATTTTGCGATACCAACCGCGATACGCCTGTCCTCTGTCAGACACAGGCTGCTTCTTGATCCGCCTGGTCACGCTCGGAAATACGATATGCGTGACTTGGAAAGCGGTGCGATTCGGGGTTGATTCATGAAACGAACGCGGACCCGCGCGATATAACATCTGCGATACCGGAATACGAACGCGGCGATCAATAAACCGCTTAGCTGATAAACTGATGAATGTGATAACAAATATTATCCGCAGTTAACTCTTTGGGGATTTGTGGTTCCATAAGAATTCTCCAACTACCAACGCGCCAACTGAGCCGTGATAAGTTTCGCGTATCGTTATAGCGTACGAAAATTTATTCGCGATTCCTGCCTCTAAATTGTTAACAAATTAACATTGTTTTATCGCTGCAGTCGACGACTGGATTTTCAGCAGACGGTGAGTTAATCGTGTAACGTAAGTGCAGAGACTCTGTCGAGCATGGAGAAAAATTGTGGTTCAAGAAAAGCGTATATAAGAGAAATGCCTCTTTTCTCTCATCTGTATGTACCAACGATAAGTTAAAATGTACTGTATAAATAATCGTCTGCTTTAAAGTGGCACATAGCTGGGTTGGAGATAATACAGGACGAGTTCAGTGACCATACGGTACGTACGTCGGAAACCGATTTGCGAATAAGACGTTTTTGTAGACGAGAACGGAAAGCAGGTGCGTCTAGTACCGTTGAATGACAATTATTCTGAGTCTTCTTTAAAATTCGCGAAGCGACCAGATATTGCACATAGAGCTTGCAAAAGGTGCGGATTTAGTTGCGTAAAAAACACACTTTCAATGCCATTAATTCGCGCATTC